GGGCAGAAAGATCCTTATTTTTTTCCACAAAAAGGTGCGGTTAGATCAGGTTTTCGCTACGTTTACTCTCAATATTCTCAGTTTCATGTGCCATGCCTTTTACTCCCTAGATAAAGAATTCCAGGGAAATGGGATATTCTTCCTTGCTTTGATTTAAATAAGGCGACTGTCGTAAAATTCTGGGATTGGGATTCTCACTGCTGGGTTTATCACCGGGGGCCGAATTTGGGCTGATTTCGGCTCCTGGGGCCGCCGTAACCAACTACTGCGCAACAAAAAGACGGCATCTTAAATACCAAACTGGCTTTTTTTCGACAAGGACGGTCTGGCCGGCGTTGGGCGCCTGCCCAGCCCCGCGCTGAGGCGGCCGTGGGTCGGTGACGGGCTTCGGTGGGTCAGGTCGGCCGGATCCCTTCGCCGGGTCACCGCCAAAGGGCCGCGAAAACGGGGATCCGTCCCTGCGCTCGGAAGCCTGCTCTGGCGGGGCCAATCTGCCAAAACGCAGCACCTTATTTCGGTGCGAGCTGCGTGGACTTCGTATGTTATACTGTAGCTCCCAATGTGTAAGCATAGATATATATGTGTGTACTTCTACATGTTGTACATATATATACATGTATATGAGGTATATCTATGTAATTCTACATATTGTACATATATATGAGGCATATCTGCATACTTAGACACATTGTACATATGTTTACACATATACATGTTGTACATATATATACATGTATATGAGGTATATATATACACTTATATGAGGTATATCTGTGTACTAAGACATGTTGTACATATATATACATGTATATGAGGTATATCTATGTAATTCTACATATTGTACATATATATGAGGCATATCTGCATACTTAGACACATTGTACATATGTTTACACATATATGAGGTTTATCTGTGTACTTAGACCCATTGCACATATATATACACTTATATGAGGTATATCTGTGTACTAAGACATGTTGTACATATATATACATGTATATGAGGTATATCTGTGCACTTAGACATGTTGTACTTAAATATACACATATATGAGGTTTATCTGTGTACTTGTACATATACATACACATATATGAGGTTCATCTGTGTACTTAGACACATTGTACATATATATACATATACATGAGGTATATCTGTGTACTTGTATGTATGGTACATATATATGCACATATATGAGGTTTATCTGTGTACTTGTACATATACATACACATATATGAGGTATATCTGTGCACTTGTACATATTGTACATATATACACACATATATGAGGTATATCTGTGCGCTTGTACGTATTGTACGTATATAAACATATATATGAATGGGTCTTTAAAGTGCTTAACCGCTGTGGGAATCTACTGAAATGTGAAGAGACATTCGCTCTTTCAGTTTGCACGCAGGTGGGCTTCCAGATTGCTGCTGCATCGAGCCCTATATAAAATATCCATTTGATAGACAATAAAATTCTCCGCTGCTTTGCTTTCTTATTTCAGTATTCATTTGTATGGCTCTAAAAAAAGGAAAAAAAAAATATATTTCCCACGGAACCACACGGGGGGTGAGGAGCCGACAGCTGACGTTACTGAGGCTTCAGACCCGCCGTAAGCCGTGCAACGAAGCCTCAAAACCGCGTCTCACTGGTTTGATAGGGCTTCACAGCGACTGGTGCAGAGGTGACACCCGCCTGCGGCTGCTGGGCGGCAGGAGCCCGGCGGGAGCGGGCGCTGGGTGCCCCGCCGCACGAACCCCTCCGGGGACCACGGGAGCCGGCGGATGCAGGAGAAGCGCCAGGCTGGTTTCAAATGTCACAGTTCGGTTCCTTTAAATCTGCTTTTTTAAATTTTTTTTATTTTTTTTTTTCCCCCGGACTCAAAGTCATTTTGTCCGTTTCATGAACTGATCTGCCGCCGTGTTGCATTTTATTGTGCTTGAGGACAAATATTATCGGTGTCAATAAAATCCCGCCATTACCGAGCGATCCTGGCCCACAGGAGCAGGATGAGCGGAGACGCGGTGTGCGAGCAGCACGTTCCTGCTACCACCCCACCCGCGGAGGCCCAGGGCTGCGACAACGACACTTCTATTGTGAAAACTGCCCCTTTTTGGGGCCCGGAGGGCAGACGCTCCCCCGGGATACTTCAGCGTGAATTATTTGTGCGTGCTGGAGTCCGGCGGCGGTTGCCCTGGGGACCACGGACCGGGTGACCGGTCGGAAGGACGACAGCACTTTTAACTGGTGTTTTACGTGGGACCTGCACGCGGAGCCCGGGAGCGGCCCCCTCTCCCGGCCCGGCCTCTCGGTCCCGCTCGCCACCACCCCGACGTTACCTATTCCAGACGATCCCAAGAAAAGAAAGACCAGCGGGTGCTCCTCGTCATACCAGCCATTTTCCTTCCTCCGAATAGCTGCATTTAAAGACGAAAACAAAAAAGGGGGGGGAGGAAAGGCATATAAATCAATGACACAAAAGCAAGTATAATTATCACTAAGTACACACTATGTTTTACTGCTCTCTGCCCACTCAAAGTCCTCGCTACCATTAGTGCTATCTAATTTGATTAGCCAGCCAAGGCCCCAGAGACACCTAATCAGGTTAGCATGGATTTGGAAAGCTGCCCAGAGCAGATTTCGGATAAAGTTTTCCAGGATGTGCACTCAGCGTTGCCAGGGAGACGGCCGGGAGGGGGGACAGGGATGGATGGATGGACGGACGGACGGAGCGGCGGGGGCTGGCGAGGGGAGGCTGCCAGAGGCACGCCGCCTTGCCGGCTCGCCAGTGCAACCGTTCTGCGAAAAAGCCGGTTTGAAGAGGTTTATGCGTTATTTCTTGCATGCGAATGGAAAGAGGGGGGTGACCGAGGGTCACGGCAGCTCTGAACTGGTGCAGGTCTGGAAGGACTGGGGAAGGAGAGCCGCTTATCTCCATGCCCGTCTGGACGGCGATGTCCAAGGGCACCCTGGTTAAGATACCAACGGAAAATTTTGCAGAAGGCAAGGAGGGTTTGGGAAGCAAAACACCCCGTTACCTCCCAAACTCCTAGTCCTAACGGCGCACCCCTTCCTCAGGACGGAGGCTGCTCTGCCTCGCGGAGCTGGTGATGCTCCTGCCCCCGGCTGCCCACAGCCACCCAAGGTGCGATTCGGCCCCACCGAGCAGCCGCAGGCTCTGTCAGGACCATCGCCAAACCAGTAACGTCACCGCACGAGGCGTAGCTGGGAGGTAAGGAACGGCTTTTGAGGCCGAGAGGAGCAAACAGAGTCACCTGCAGGCTGGAGCTGGCCCGTGGAGCTCAAAAGCGTCCGCCCTGGTTCAGACCGAGGGTCCGCTGCTGCTCGGCCTTTTGGCTAAGGAAATAATTCTCAGCGTTTTCATACTAGATACCCCCGTGGCCGGACTGGGTTTGATGGCTGGTGGTTGGTTGACACCGGGAGATGGACTGGGTGTCTCCTCCGCCCGCTGCAGGCATCGGCTGGGCGCAGTGATGCTCCCCGGCGCGGCGTGCGAGCAGCGGCCGCAGGAGGAGGCGCGGGGCCGAGTAAGTCCCATCGGCGGGACCCCCCTCCCGTATTCTGCTGACCCCCCGCCATCTTCAGCTCGGGGATCTCCCGTGCCTGCCGTGGCACGGATCCTCCATGGTCTCGCTTCCAAGTACCTGTCCAGCCTCCCCCGGCGTCCGAGCAAGTGCCACGGACCTTTGAGCAAAGCCTGGGCTGAGCACAGCCTACGGAAAACAGACTCCCAGGGTATTTGCACCCTAAAACATGCTGAAGTGACCGCTAATAAAGGCGAAATACCGGTGCAGGCGGGTAGGGTGGTTAACCCGCTTCAGTTCAGGCAGCGGCTAAAGGGGGCAGGGAGAGGAGGAGGCGGTGTGTGGGCTTTGCTCTGAATTTTGATCTGCAGGGGCTTCAGATCTCACCCAGACCTTGTAAGGGAGGAACCGAGCTTGTATTTCAGGGTGTTGGTCAGGACGTACGCCGAGGGGACGTGGGGACACGTAAGGAAAGCATTACGAGGGCACAGCTCTCCCCCATTGCCGTGCCCAGCCCGCTGGCTCTGCCCCGCACTGAACCCCAGCCCCGGCAACCCAAAACCACCCGCCAGCCCCCCGGCTGCTCCGCCGTGTGCCGCTTCCCGCCGGGGACCGACCCGGACCGAGCCGGAGCCGGGAAGGGACTGCGGGACGTGAAACGCTCCCGGCCACGGCTCGGGCACGGTTTGGCAGCTGGGTCTAGCAAAACGCCGGGGTGCAAGGCTCCAGAACGGAGCACGGGGCTCACCGGTCCCGGCTTGTGCGCTGGGAGCTCACCACCGAGGTGCTGCAATTCCCAGCTCCCAGGGAGACAGCCTCACGTCTCAGCCCTCCTGATTTACCTGCATTATTTAAACACGGCCTGTATTACAGCTCTTGGAAAGAGTCCTTCTTGCCACAGGGATTGGTGCACGTTGTTTTGTGACGTTTGTGAGCCATGACACAACCTGAGACCGCATGGTGCTATAAACGAGGGGGAGGCTGCGCCGGCCCGGGGCCCTGCAGCCGCGCTTTCCGAAGGGCGCGGGGCAGCTGCCCCGCGTCAGCCAGACCCAAGGTGCGGCAGGTTACGTTTGACAGAAGCAGGGCACGAAACGGGCGAGGTGCCCAGCAATAGCAACCTCCGTTATTTTTAAGGTAGCAGAGGAAAACAGCAGCATCAGAGGTAGAATGAAGGGAGGGAAACCGCTCGGAGACGCGCGGCTCGACCGCGCTTTTAGCATAAAGCTCTTGAAAGGCCGCTGCACAAGCGGCACTGCAAAGCCCTGCCTTCGCTGCCTTCAGCGGCTTCCACAGCCGACGGAGGAATCAAACCGCGTCTCCTCTCTGCGGCTGCCGTCGCCAAAGCGCAGGCTGGGCCCGAGCCTCCATCCCCGTCCCCAGCCCCACGGGCCCCTGTCCCTTGTCCCGAGGCCAGCGTGGGGAGCCGTGCATCTGCTGGCTCCCCGGGGCTGGCAGGAGAGAACGCCAGTAACCTTGATAAATGGGGAAGGCTGGATTCGGAAAAAAGAAAGACAGAAAGAAGGCAAGAAGGCAAGAAGGAAAGAAAGAAAGAAGGAAAGAAAGAAGGAAAGAAGGATGGAGAGAAAGATGGAAAGAAAGGAAGAAAAAGAAAGAAAGAAAGATGGAAAGATGGAAAGACAGAAGAAAAGAAAGAACGAAAGAAAGAAGGAAAGAAAGAAAGAAAAATAGAAAGAAAGAAAGAAAGAAGGAAAGAAAGAAAGAAAGATGGAGAGATGGAAAGAAAGATGGAAACAAGGAAAGATGGAAAGAAAGATGGAAACAAGGAAAGAAAGAAGGAGAGAAAGATGGAAAAAAGAAAGAAAAAGAAACAAAGAAAGATGGAAAGAAGGAAAGAAAGACAGAAAGAAAGAAAGATGGAAAGAAAGAAAGATGGAAAGAAAGAAGGGAAGAACAAAAGAAGGGAAGAAGGAAAGAAAGATGGAAAAGAAAGAAAGAAAAATGGAAAGAAAGATAGAAAGAAAGATGGAAAGATGGAAAGAAAGACGGAAACAAGGAAAGATGGAAAGAAAGAAAGAAAGAAACAAAGAAAGAAAGAAAAAAAGAAAGAAAGAAAGAAAGAAAGAAAGAAAGAAAGAAAGAAAGAAAGAAAGAAGGAAAGAAAGCTGGAAAGAAAGTCAATCCACCAAGCGCTCTGCTTGAAGGGGTATGGGAAAACAAGACCCCTGAGGCAAGGCATCCTCGCCGTGGCACACGCAGAGGTCTTCCTGCAGGAGCAGGATGGCAAACCGACACGGGCAATATGGGATAAACACTTCCATTTTGCATGTAAAAAGCAGCTGAATATCGCAGCCCACGGACCGAGGGGGAAACGCTGCCTCTGCCAGCAGCAGCCATGGCGGGAAGGTGTTCAACAGCAGCAGCTGAAGTGAAATACTGCAGCGGCCGGATCGGGCAGCAGCGAGGAGCCTCGCGTGGATTTGCCACGGAGCTCCTGGAGTTGCTCCTGCTGCCGAGAAGACCTGCAGGCAGGCCGGCTCCCCTGAGCCCCGGGCTGGGTCCGAGGGGACCCAGGCAGGGTGGAAGGTGACAGATCCGGTGAGGATGAGGAGTACACGTCCAAAGCCTCAAGGGAGCCTGAAAATGGCAAGAAAAAATCCATCTACTGAGGTTAAGGACGAGAGCTTTGAGGGTTGACTTGACCAGAGCCATTAAGCATCTCCAGGAGGAAGCCCACAACTCACTCATCTGGCAGACAGAATGAACGTGCTGCAGGGCTGGACGAATTCAAACTAGAAATAAGGCAGAACGTTTTTTAATAATGAGGGTGATTAACCATCACAGCGGGTTGCAAAGGGGAGGGTGACTGAATCCCTAATCCCTGCGGAGTCTGCAGGGAAAGATGAGGGGTCTTCCCGAAAGGTGGTGGTAGCTCAGCCAGAAGACGAAGGCTCGCATCGCTGTGCTATGCACAGGCTCAGCCCAAACAGCCAAAAAAGCCCGGTCTAACCTTAAAATCCAGGGGCACGTCCACCCAGCGAAACGGGACTGAGCGCAGGGATTGTGAAGTTAGCGGGAACACGAGCCCCAGCGCCACGCGGACTTGGACTTGATGCCTGGACGCAACCGAGACGCATTACCCGGTGCCTTGGCCACGCTAATAAGTCCTGACTCCTGTCATGGCTTAATTAGCTGGGGCGTGGAGCCAGGCTGCAGGACTGGCCTGCGGCCGCCCCGGCTCACCCTGCCCGGTGTCTCCGCTCGGCCCCACCGACCAGCTCGGGCTGCGGCCGGCGGCGCCGCGCGGCTCTCTGGGGAACCGGGCCAGG